ATTGTTTTAAATTGCCTAACGTGCGTAAATGATACAAGTAATTGGCTGTGGATGACGGTGTGTGTGGGGGCGTTTTTACTACCTATTCACACCCACACACATCACCCACATCCTCAAATTTGGTTCGCTGAATTAAAAAAAATTCTTTTTGGCGATATTAGAAAGAAATTTTTTTTACGTCGAGCTGTACAGTTTAGTCATGTAAAAGAACGTTTCGATGTGTTATGCATTACTATCACGGTTGATCAATCTACTTAACCGTATTTGCAATGTAAACGGTCGATATATATACTAGACTCTCACTGTACATAGACGATATCATTCAACTGGAACAATCTTATAATAATATAGTTTTGGTCGGCTTGTGTTGCTATAAAAAGAAAAAGTGCATCTGATTGCAACTCGATAATATCTATCTACAAATCAAATAAATAAGTATATGCTAGGAATCTACTAAAATCATTCTCTCATTCATACAGTATAAATTTTGAATTGGATCTGACATTGTATTATTAAAATAAAACATCAAAATAGTATAAAAATATGTGTCAGTTCTCTTCATTTTTCTTCTGTTCATATAAAGTTTGAATATTATCATTTGCTATTAATTTTTGTAATTGTTTTAATGTTACTAAATTTTCGACGATATTAATAGTTACATTTTTACAATTTCTAATATTCAATATATTTAAACGTTTTAATTTTCGACATATAGAATGTATTGTATCATCATTAATTTGTGTTTCACTTAAATAAAGTCGACGAAGTGTTTTACTATATAATATAAGTGTATTCATAAATACTGAAATTGATTTTATACGAAAACAACCATTTAAATTAAGTTCAACTAAATGTGGATATAGTTCAGGTAAATATCCAATATACATCGATTGAAGACATGTAGAATTTTCAAATGAAAGTATTTCAAGTTGTTGAAAATTTGATGAAGTTTTAGATACTTGAAAAAAAGCTGATGGTCCTGATATATCCGGTGCTAACATTTCACATTTTGTTAAATAAAGACCTTGAAGATTCGATGGTAAGCAAGTGATATTTTTTATAGTTCTTTGATTAGGATGAAAATCATACTGTGATATATGTAAATAACGAAGATTTGGATATGATGTTTGTATTAAAGTACTTAATTGTTCAGTAAATAAAGGTAGTTTACCAGAATTATTATGAATTGATCCACCAGAGATTTTTAATACTTCCGTACAATTACGAGGAAAACGATGTAATAATTTAAGTAGTTGTCGATTTGAATATGGTTTTGATGTTAAATCAATAGTTGTCCAGAATTCGTCGTCATAAGCAATACAACGAAACCATTTGCAAACACTATTTCAAAAAAAAACAATGATAGAATTAGACTGATGAAAGAAAAAAAACAAACCTAGCAGCAACAATCAATTCATCTATTGTTAAATATTTAAATATAGAAAGAAGTGTTTCATCAGGTAATTGAAATATTAATCCATCTTGTTCAATATATTCTTCTCGTAATTCTCTTTTTCGTTTTTTACGAGTATTTAAAGACATCTTGTGAATTTGACAAACAAAAAATACTCAATTGAATCTATTTTTGTACGAGCATAGTATAGTCATTACTCAATCCATATGCAATTTTATAGAATTGTCCAATGAAAAAATAATATGATGACGCTACTTTTCATATATATTTTGTGTCTTTTTGAATTTTTCTTTACCATTAGATATAATAAATAGAGATATTTGCCTTCGATTGATCATTGAGTATAGATACTTTATTTGGAAAAACATACACAATGAGAAATGTATAAAAAAAAATATCAATGCTAGAGTAACATAATAAAAATAAAAATACAGAATAGGTTAAAGATGTATAATAGCTTGATTATTGAATTGATAAAAATTTATATACAGTAGTTTATTTTCTTACATCAGTACCTTGAGTATTAGCTGCTTGGTAATCAGCTGTAGCTCGTTTATAATGGTCATTATTTTTTAAATCATTTTTATTACCACTCATCATTTTATAACCGGCATCTAAATCAAAATATGACGTGAAAAGATCGAATAGTTTATTTCAACTCACAAATAGTAACAGCAAGAACAGCAATTGTACCAAATTGACCAATTGGTGTACTCATAAATGATTGTTGTTCATTTGAATCTCTGAAAAAAAATTATATTGATAGATAGATAGAAGAAAACTAAATTTACTTTGATGATGATGATGAACTTTTGCTGCTGCTACTACCACTTGACGATGATGATGATGATGAAGAAGAAGTTCGTTTTGTTTTATCAGTTTCTTTATTTTTTAAATCAACAGTTTCATGAGATAATGGTGGTGCATCAGAACTTGTTTTTGTTGGATTTGTATGATCTGATTTTGTTGAACTTTTTGGTAAAACTGATGAATCACCTTTTTTTGTTCCACCTGATTGTGAGACTGTTTTTGTACTACCTGATATTGGTACACCCTTCAATAAATATATATATATATATATTTCTAGAAAATTTGTTTTTTAAATCATACTGAGCCAGGTGTTGGTGGTGTCGCAGTATTTTGACTAGCCTGAGCACGAGCTATTAATGTGGGTATATAACGAGGAAATTGAAGCATTGCTTGTGTTCGATAAAGATATGAACTCATGTTTTAAAAAAATCTAAAAACAAAAGAGCAAGACGAAAAGAGAAGAATTGGATATCTAATTGACTCTATTTTTCTTTTCTATTTTAAGAACTAGAATGGAGAAAAAGAATTTTAAAGTTCATGAATTCGGCTAATAATGTTTTTAGTGATCTTTGGCGTTGGCTGGTTTACTAACACCTTCATGAGGCTTTTTTGGATTATTGTCTACAGCTAATTTAGCATGAACATCAGATTCAGCTTGAAGATCTGGTCTGGTCATACGAGCTTGTTTATCTCGAAAGTTTGCTTTTTGATCAGGTGAATTACCAAGTAACATTTTATAAGCTGCATCTATAAAAGAAATGTATACATATGTATAGTTTTCGATAATTTCAATTTAATAATTCTGTTTATTTACAAAGTGATAGAACGGCAACAGCTGCTAAACCAAATTGACCAGTAGGAGTTTTCAAAATCGATTGATGTCTATATAAAATAAAAATTTATTGAAATATGAAAGAAAATTCTATGTTTTTCATACGCTGTATCTGAGCCACCTTTCTTATGGGATTGTTTAGCATCTCCTGTTGTTTTCGTTGGATTCGTTTTGTCATGAGCTGTTTGTGCACCTGGTAACATACTTGCACTACTTCCACCACCAATGCCAGTTCTTTGTGTAGCGGATGGGCCATCAGTAGCAATGAATTGTCCAGAACCAGAAACAATATGATGTCCTTTGGCATCAGCAACTTTAACTGATGAACCTGGTGGTAAATTATGTGCATTCATTCGTGATACATAGAAAATATTTGTTGTAGCACGTGGTACAAGACGACAAAGATGAGACATTTTATTTCTTTAAAAGTAGATATCTGAAACAATTTTTATAAAATATTCTCTAGCATTATATGCAAAATTTGATCTAGATCATACGAAGAAAGAAAATAGTGAATACCAAAAACAAAAATACTTCGTAAACTTCAAAATAATTCCTATTGGTTAATTAACGCCATTACGTATTTATTTTGGATCTCTTTCTAGAAAATATACGCATATTATTATTAAAAAATATTAAATTATAGAGCTTTTTTTCCTTCGCAATAAAAAAACGTCCTTAAGAATATCAAAAAATAATAATGAATAGAAATGAGGCAATAATTCATTTACATTGACGCTAGCGACAAGCGACAAGGACAACCAATTTATGTTGAATACAAATCTCAAATCAATTTGTCTACATCCGACAAGTGAAATGATTCAGAAATATGTTTCCATAATAATCAAATCAATTTTGTTGCTTAATCTCAAGAAAATTCTTTATCAAAACGTGTGACTATTCTAGAGCTTAACATAAAAAGATAAACTTGACTGTTTTCAAATATTTTTTTTTATAAACTGAACAAAAGAATAATAAAAAAAAAACAAAACAAAATAGAAAATGTATGTGACTAGATTTTCTTCTTAAATCATAATGTCTTCACCTTGTAATGAATTTGAATTGAGACTATCATTATCTTCATAAGGATATTTTTTTAAATTTAATGTTTGTTTTTCATTATTTAAACAATCTTCAGCATCACTTGTTGTTATTATAGTTGGAATTTTTTGTTTTGGTTTATCATTTATTATTTTAGAATTATCTGGTAATGTTTTAAATGAAACAGTTTTCGATGCTGATACTAATAGATGATATTGTTCTTCAGCATCATTACTAACAACAGATTTTGATTGACCATCACTACTTGATATATCATAATTTGTCATTTGATCATTGGATATAAAATTTTTTGATACTGGAAGGTGTGACGTAAATTTAAAGCTACTTACTTGAGCTTTTAATTGTTTAGCTAAACGCATATTTTTTTCTGGATGAACAAGTATTATATAGACTTTAGGCGTAAATAGACAAGCTAATGCAACTGTAGCACATAAAGATATTGTTACACATAATGTCGTTATATGTATCTAGAAGAGAAATAAAAAAAGTTAATAAAAAAAAATTATTTTTTTATTACTTGATGACGACTAGTTTCATAAGCTGTAAAATAAATTGGAAGAAATGCTAACCAAAGAATACATGTTGTATAACAAGTAAAACCAATAAATTTTGTTTCATTAAAATTTTCCGGAACTTTTCGTGTACGTATAGCATACATTGTACATATAAGTACAAGTAAAACATTGTATGTTAATGAAAAAAGAAATGAATGTTTATTCATTTGACATTTAAGTATAACTAAACGATCATCAATGATATAATCAACATATGGATGTTCATATGCAAGCCATAATAGCGAGAGAAGAACTTGTACCATTATTAAACATGTACATATAAATAATTGTGAATTTGGTGATATATATTGAGGACGTAATCGACCTTGTTTTTTTGTACTTGCAAAAATTCGTGCAATACAATTTGTTTTCGTTAATAATGCTGCATACATCATTGCAAAACCTAAACCAATACCTACACGTTGAATAATACATGTAATTATATGTGGTTTCAATAATATTGGTAATGTCATTGAATAACATAAATGAATTCCTGCTAACATTATAAAACAAAGTTCTTTTCCACTTGCTTTAACAATAGGTGTTGTTCGTTTTTGATAAAAAACAATAACAACAAATAGAGTTAAAAGATTTCCAATAATTGATAGACTTATTGGTACCATTGCTTGTACAGTAAAAAGTTCTATATAAGTTTCATCAAGTTTATAACATGCTGTTCGATTCACAGTTGGCCAATAACCAATAGAACATGGTTCACAACGTTCTTGTTTTTCGGCACCAACTACAATCGATGTATCATTACATAGTGTACATACCCAACAGCAAGAATCACCTTGAAATTGTTTCACTTCACCTACACGACATGGTTCTGAACAACGTGAAATAGGTATGATTTTTGATGATGAAGGATTATAAATATTTGTACTTGGCCATACAATTGAATCAATAGCTAAATTAAGTTGTCCAGTTTCATTTCGACCAACTTTCCATTCACCAACAGATACATATTCATAGGGTGATGCATTTGTGTCTAAGGACGATGATGATGATGATGAATCTGATCGACGATAATTATAGATACGATAATGACCTGGTACGAAACGTTCAGAATTAAATTGTATTTGTCGAAAATCAGGCACTAGAATAAATAAAGAATTTGTTTTATTTATTTTTTTCTTCATAACTGTCAATTTAATTAAGTTTAGAATAGATTCTCTCAGCATAAATAATCAGATTGATTATAATTTATTGGTGACAGTAGAAAAGAAAGAAATTTCTTCTGCAACAATGCATTTGTCATTAAATTCATTTGACATATATATATAAAGAAAAACTTACTTGAAAATGGTTTTTCTAAAATTAATTTAAATAATTTTGTACCATTAATACTATTCAATGAGACATTATAACATGTTGATGTTGTACAATTAAAATACATGTGTAATGCTTGAGCAAATACATAAGTTGCATCAACAATAAATTGTAATTTACTATCCCAATTTGTTTCATTTAATTGATGTTCACGACATTCATCACCTGAATATAAACGACATCCAAAACGATGCTCCCAAAATTCATTAAACCATGGATTTCTTGGTAACATATATTTTTCATTAGGATTAACTTGATCCTCAAGATATTCTTCATCATATTCTTTATCTGTGTCAGGTTTAAGTGCATTAAAATAACGATCAAAATTAACTGGTTGAATTGAAATAAGTTCAAGCGTCAATGCTCCAACAGCTATTTCATCAGTATCACCTTGAATTACAACTGATGATTCTTTACCCTAGAAATGAAATAATTTAATTAAAAGAAGAAGAAAAAAACGCTATATTTATACCCATGCATCACTAGCAATTAGAACAGGTCGATGTGTTATACGAATTAATTTCACAGCTTGTAATATTTTTCTTGCATCTTCTTTGGTAACAAATAGAACATAAACAGATACTTGAACATCAGATTTAACACTATCGATCATTGTTTGTATTACACTTTTAATATCTTGTACTGATGCATCACGTTTTAAACGTTGTTCATCAGCTATACATATTTGTTGTTGTTGTTTTTTATTTGAATTTGTTTCATCATCTAATTGTGTTGATACTTTAAGTAAACGTTTGAATTCTCTAAAACCACCTTCACCATAATCACCATGAGAATATATTGTATTAACATATGTAAAATTTAAACGTTGTAATATATCAACAATTGCACGTGCTTGATTGGAATCGGACGGAACAGTACGAGCGAAATAATCAAATGATGCTTCACTTAATTTAGGTGTTGTTGATGCATAGGATATTTGTGGTAATTGAAATAAACGTAATAAATTAGCAATTTGTACACTAACTGAACTTAATGTTGCACCAACAACACCAAATACATTATCATTTTGAAGTGATTCCGATATTGATGTATTAATACATGTACATGTACCTGATGTTAAACGACTACGTACAAATCGAAGTGATTGTTCTAATGCATAATTATCATCAGAACATGTATCCAAAATAAGTGCACCTAATTTAATACCGGGTAATAGATGTTTATCATTATTAATTTGTTCAATAGCAAAAAGCATTGCTTCTAAACGTTGTATACCTCGAAATTCACTTATAGCTCCACATGGTTCTCGTGGACTTCCATATTCGTGTACAGGAAATAAACCACCTAATATCACGTCACCTGGACGACGTCCAAAACGTCCTGTTGCTGCTGATGATGTTTGAAGAAAGAATAATATGAGAACGAAAACAATCAATGAAAAATACGAATAATAAAACATTGTTCTTTTTTTTATATTTAGGCCTAGAAAAATAAAACTGCGAAAATCATTGTAACTGTGACATTTATGAATATATATATATATATTATTCTATGTGTAAATATGAGAAAGTTTTTTTTTTTATTTTATTTCCATCAGTTCTTTCTCAACGTCTTTCTTACTCGCTTTGTAAGTTAATCTATTTGATAAAAACAACAAAAAAGAAGAGAAACTTTCTTCGTCGCTGTTGCCACTATCACTGCCACATCCTCAAGATGCTACTATTCTCCCTCTCTCTCTCTCTCTCTCTCTCTCTCTCTCTCGATTTCAGCTATCTCCTCCCTTTTCCTCAATAATTATCACTTCTCTCTTCTTCTTCCTCAATTTCTCTCTTGTGACATCTTCTGTTGATTATGTCAGACGATTCATTAAATTTTATTATAAATTTTTTTTCTCTCTTCAAGTACCATCTATATAATTATTTATTGTCTATTGCTTGACTGAACTACTGTTAAAAGTCAATAATAATAAAGAATCCACTTGACATGTTACTTGTTCACACAAATTTATTGTCAAACATAACACTCATAAAAATTTGACACAAGTTATTTTTCTTTAGTTTTTTTTTTTGTTCGTTATATTATCGTATTCTTTTATTGATGTGTATTCACTCATCGTTTTTTGATTATGAGAATGCTATACAAAAAGAAAATTTCGTTAGTTCCATCATAAATAGGACGAGCAACATGCTCGCCTTATTTTTTCTATCTACATAACTTTTTCGAGTATCGGCTTTTACTTGTCATCATGTTGACTAGAAGAGATTTTCTATCACCAACAAAGAAAAAAAAGCGATGATCGAAGAGATATAACATACGAAAAAAGAAAATGTCAAATATGTCGACTAATAATGATTATAAACAACGAACAGAAAATCAAAAAGTTGTTGACAGTTATTAATTATAGCTTTCTAGTTTCAAACTAATATTGTTGTAAGTGGTTGATGAACTTTCTAAATATATAATTATTTGTCACACTAACTCATTATAGTTGTTAGGTATGAGCTTTTTTAACCTACTAAGTAAAGAATCTCGTTTTTTTCTTCCGCTTGCCTTTTTTTTATGCTGCTTGATTCTCACCGGTTAATATAGATAAGAACAATAATCCTCTATTTAAAGCAACGGTAAGAGAGAGAGAGAGAAAAAGAAGGTTGGTAATTTTATTTGTGTTCGCATGAAGAAACTTAAGTGAATCTTTTTTAATTTTTTTATTATTCTTGTTCGTAAAAAAGAACCTCGTTTATCTTTAGAGGAAAAGAAAAATATATGAATAAAATAAACAACAATGCGACAAATTTTTATACAAAATCAAATTTCAGTCTTAGCTTACAGCTAGAATTCTATACAATTCAATGTCAAATGAATGAGGTTCTTGCATGTTGAATAAACCCTATCCGATGTTACAGATTTACATAATAATATATTAACTACGGATAACATATTGTATAGGTGATGAAGTTCAAAATTATATTAGACATAAAACCATATTAGTGTCTTTTAAAGCATTATCAACATCGACGGACTTATATTGATAGTACATTACACGTGCGAACAAAACTAATATTTTTATTTTTATTAAAGGTTGACTCATCTGATTACAATTTCCGTTTCACATTGTTTACGCAGCATTTACATTATAATCTCTACCCTTTAATTTCGAACGTGTAGAACCATATAATAATCAGTAATGCATTTTCTCTGTTTTGTTAATAACACTTTTACAAATAAACAGATATATATAATCTCAATAGTGGATTTATATCGAATATAAGAAAGCTATATAATGTTTTTTTTTGTTAGAGTTTGTTAATAAGTGCTCTATGTTGTTGTGCTTGAATGAATTGATCAATTTGATGTATATCTAACATTGAACGTATACGATTTGAAGAATTTTTATAAAGATTAATAAGATCATTTTTTATTGATGATGGTCGTAAACGTTTTTCTTCAAATACACGATCAATATCAGCAATTGTTAATTGTTTTTTTTGCTTGATAGATTTTATTCGAATCTTTTGAGTATGTTGTTGTCGAATTTTAGCTTGATATCGTTCATTACGTGCTTGTTGAACAGCTAATATAAACAAATTATGAGCAATATTATTAATTAATGGTTCATTAGGATCAGTTGAGTGTATCGATGAAGTATCATCAATATGTAAATCTATATTATCTATTTTTTGTTGTTTGTTCTTTTTAGTTTTTAATGATTTTGTATGTGTTTCCATTCGTTCAATTGATGAGAGAAAAAAATGTGTTTTATAATAGAGACATTTTCCTTTTTTTTACCAATTCAATAAGTCAACTAACAGAAAATTACTCGCGCCAATCGAGTCAATTTCTTTCCTTCCGTTTTTATCGTTAAGTTAATTGATATAAATATTATTTATTTATAAAGAAGTTTCTTTTCTTACTCCCTCTGATTTGATATACAAAAGATTTTGACTAAATACTAGACATTTTCATGTACTATGTTATTTACTATCAAATAATTTAATTGTCGCCTGCGTAGATGGAATGAAACATCAATCACTATAATTCCGCTAACGCGAAATATTTAGCTTCGAATCTGTATATAGATTTATCTCGGATATGAGGAAAATGACTAGTTAATAATTACAATCATCATTTAATATGTCATGACATTGGATAAAAATGACGAATTTTCTTTTTTTTATTTCATAATTTATGAAATATTTAATAAAAAGAATGTTTTTATATCCTTAAAACATTCATTATTATTCTACAATAGAAAAAAAGAACGAAGATGCAATATTTATTAAAAACGTTATAGCGATGCTTGATATGGTAAATGCCGATAAATTGTTGGTATGGGTGATGGTCGTGCAAAAAATACAATACATAAAATTAAAAATATGATTTCACTTCCAGTAAAAATTAATGCAATTATTGTCATAATTAATTCTGCTCGTATAACAAATAATTGCCATAAGATAAAATATAAATATCCAAAAAAGACGGCAATTGTTAATATAATCGTAAATGCGGAAAGAAGAATACTTTCAGTTCGATTTGATATTGATCCAAGTAATATACGAAATAGATCGACAAAAAATACAGCAAGCATTAAGATTACTTCGCCAGCGAAATAACCTTGATTAGGATATATAATTGTTGCATTTTTATAAACAAAACTAAGAGATTCAATAAGTAACCAAACTAATAAACACCAACGATTTATAGTTAGAAATATTTCAAATATGACAGATGAACGAACATTGGATAATTCACTTGAAGCAACAGCCATTTATATATGTATTTAGATAAATACTTTATTTCATACAGAAAAAAATCTATGGAAGAAATATGTTACTATGGATATAATGTTCAACAAGAGCAATAAAAATATGAATTTTATAGATGTCACTGAGTGTTATAGAATAAATGGTATGATTGCACACCTTTTCGATGGATATAGTTGTTGGTAATGTTGACAATACCAACGATGAGTTAGTAATGCTGATAAACATTGGTTGACAATAACCCATATTGTTAATGACAGGAAACATAATGTTCGATGACTGAGAAATAAAAATGAAATATATATAAATATTTCAGCAATATAATTTGGACAAGAAAAATATTCAAATGCCCAATAACCATTTGGTATAGGATAATTTTCATTTTCTTTACGACGATTTTGTGCTAATGTTAAATGAACACGATATTGAATATAACTAGCATTAAGAAATAATAATAATGCTAAACAATAATTTATTATAGAAATATTTTTTGAACTATATTTATCATCAGTAATTATAGTTAAACCAACTAATGGATAATGAATGATTCCAATAAGATAATGAAGAAAACTCATTGATGCATTTTGACTAAAACGATGAATATAAATACATTCATATAAACGTCGAAACATATGACATATAAAAATTATAAATAATACATATGATGATCGATAGAAGAGAAATAAAACTATGTTGATTAGAAGACCAATTATATAAAAATGACGAAAATATGATTTAGGTACATCAGTTAAAATTTGTTTCTCATTTTTTAATTTACCAAAAAGATAAAAACGTTGAAGAATAATATTAATGATTGTGATACTTGTTTTGCCATCAAATAATAACCATAAACCTGGTATCAGTACTGCAACTGATATAGCTAACCAAAACAAAGATAGTAATAAATTGATATTAATTTCAATCATTTGATTTAATCTAAAATAGTTGATATTGGGAAATCCAATTTCGAAAACGCGTAACTTTAATGAGAAGTGAACATAAGGATTATGATAGAACTAGTTTTTATTCCTATGTGAAACTTATTGAAGAAAATCAAGTTTGATTTCTTTTCGATAAAATTCTCGGTTTACCCTACTTTGATCGAAAGTAAAAAATGTCGAATAGTACAAATGTCGAAAAAATGACGCTACCTACCACGTCCTTTTTTCGACATTTTTAGTTTCGATCAAAGTAGAGTGCATCAAATTCTCAATGGTATTTTAGACAAAAGTCACATTGCTTTGCGGTTTAATTGATCAGTACTTTTCATATTATAAAATCATATATATTTTTCATTCAGATATATCTGCACAAAAAATTTGTTCCAGACACAGAAGCAAAACAAAAACAAATAAAAATATAAGAACAAACAACAATAAAACTCATTCAACCATATAGAAAAAAAGAAAAAACACTTGTATATATAGGTGCTCTTGTGCAACCGGAAGAACTATTTAAACCGGTGAATCATCAATAAATGGTAATTCTGTAACGGGGGTTATGGATTGTTCATTAGAATCAATTCTTTGAAAATCTAGATGAGTGTCATTGTGTAGATCAGAAATATCCAATTGTACATCACTATAGATTGATTCGGAAGTTAAAAATGCATGTGGACAAGAATATTCAATAGCTTGACGTTCAAGATCATAACGATGAAAACGTCGACGTGCATTAACAAGTCGAAATGTCATCGGTAAAAAACCACATAAAATTACAGAAGTAAAAATCATAATATAAGCTAAGATAAGCCATTCATCTGTTAGCATTGTTAAAACAATGATGATTAGAAGCGATTAACAATATATTCACTTCTAGCACCATCGAAAATAGAATCTAGAAAAACAAAAGAAAATTATATTTTATGATTTATTTCAATGGGCATAAGCCTAGTTCTTTTCTTTTCTAAATTAGACCTTCAACAAACAAATACAAAGTATATTCTGTTGTTATCTTTCCTCTATCTTTTTTATTATATGAAATATTCAAATAAAAACGTGCTTATATGTTGAAGTTCGAAAGAAAAGAACAATAACTCAATAAATCATTTATATATCACGAAAAAAGCAAACAAAAAATATATCTTACTTTTAAAGTAGATTCACATACTTTTGACTTTTATTAACGTATACAAAAAAAATAAGTTGAGAGATTTTTTCAAGAGAGTATAAATAAGATCAATTTTATCATTCTATCAAGGGAATTATGTTCTGAAGTAAAAATAATAAAGTCAATGTTCTTTGATATAAAAAAACTAGCGATTCATTGTCATATAGTGATTTTAAGGGTAACAGATGGATATGTCGTCTGAGTTCTGAGAAAATGTAGTTCGATAAATGAAATAATAATAACTTACATAAAGAAAAAACACCAGTAATGAATATTATTACTTCCTTTTTTAGTAAAATAACATCACACTTGATTTTATCACTTAGACAACTGTTTAAAATTAATACACAACAAAAATGATATAAAATAATCACATAATTTTGATGGGAATGAGATCACCATATGTAGAAAAAATATCTGTCATCAACTTTGTTATAAATTGCAATCGATATTAAGTAGAATCTTTTAGGAAGATCCATTTATCAGTCAGTTGCTTTTCAATTCCAATACATTGTAAAGCCAATATAATATATTCATCTAGATATGACCATAGTGTTGATTTTGTTCTTTTAGTATGTTCTATAATAAGTGAATGCAATTCGCCAAACATCTCATATAATTCTATAGATTCGGTATTTGACCAGTCTTGACAATAGTTTTTAATTCTCTGACTATATTGTTCCATGATTGAATTTTGATATTTTGAGAACGATGAAACTCTGACATCTGATTGATATGTGCCAGTGAGAAAATGTATAACTAATTCTTGCCAAATAGACTCAGGTATTAAAGGTTTTTGATCAGTTTCTTTGCATTCGTTACCAAATATTTTTTGTTTTATGAACCAATCATTTAAAATTTCAATAAACAAAATACGAAGTAATGAAACAGAACAAGTTTTCTCGTCTGATCTTTTAGTCCTTAATAATAGACTTGATGGTTTTTCTTTGACTTCTTCATAATGTAAATCAGCGAATTGAATATTCAGTGAGTTTGTTGAAACAAATACTTTAAATCTTGGGTTAAATTCATTAAGATATGAGACACATGCTTGAAGCATAATATTATCTGATTGATCAGCGAAACCTTCTGGTCTATTAAGGTATCTTAATCCAATAAGATATTTGGCAAAAAGCCAAGGATAACTTAGTACACGTTGAGTAGATTTTGGTGGTAGTCGATTGCTTTTTTCATAAGTATAAATATAAGCACACGCTGCTTTAGCTTGTTTTTTGCTTTTGCAGGTGTTACAATCGATTGTTTTTCTACGAGAAGAAGTTGGGTCAATTCTAACTGTACAGCATTTGTATTTATCACGTCGCTCATCGAATTCAGCGAAAAATGCTCGGATAGTTCTTTGAATTAAATTTTTTACTTCTATTGCAGCGGAATCTTCAATACCACCTTTTTTACCACCTGATGTATCCATAGAATCGCAACGACAGAGAAGATCAATCTCATCGTGAAATCGATATAGACTTATTATTTCAAGTATTTCACTTTGATAAATTCGATATAAACGTTTTATCTCAGGAAGATAATGTTGATAATCTTTATGTTTTATATATGGATCAAGTGTTTGCGTATAATTTGGTGAGATATCCATTCTAATAATAGTTTCATCGTTTTCTTGATCCTTTTTATTAGGATCAGAAGTTAATGTCAGAGCTTCTTGTATATGACGTGCATTACCATAATTACTTATTGCTCGAACCCAACCATTTGCAGCACGACGCGCTGAACGATATAATTTACCTAAAATATAATTTTTATCTTATGATGTTATAATCATGTTCCTCGATTTCTTCTATAAAACAGAATGTATCACATAAAGCTATTGAGAAAAGCTTTTAAGCAATCTGTCATCTTAATAGGAAAATATTTGTTTCGTTTCAAAATGTCGATATACAAAAATAATTATAGTACTTTTTTTGATCTATATATAGATATTAGTTTGTATCCAATATAAAGCTAACAATCCGTCATGAAAACAAAATCACCCTCGATTTTTACAGGCTAAAATAGATTATGATATTGTTTCCTCTAATTCGATATTGAAAATAGAAATAAAACGTTTTAAATGTCATCAATTATGGCTACGTCTTCGTTAATAAACTATTGAATACTTACCAAGAATACGTTCTGATGGATAGTAGTCTTTTTTTCCTCGAGCTTTCATAAAATCGGGCCATTTTGTTCCAAAATTCTCTCTAAGTTCAACAATTTGTTCTTCTGTTAATGGATGTTTACCAGTTTTCGCTGCATCAACTTCTTGCGAAATCCATCCAGCTAAATTTGTACATACTTCAGATTTAATACCTTCTTTTTCTTTATCAGCATAAGCTAAATGAATATTTGATAAACTTCCAAGACAATCTTGTTCACTAACTTCCATAACAATTTGATTAATATCATCTCGAGTTATTGGTCGATTCATTTTAGGTGGGTCTTCTTGAGAATCATACTTATATGCATCTACATTAGGTGTTGTTGGTATTAAATCTTTAAGCCATATAACAACATATTCATCTCCTAAATAATAAAGAATTTAAAAAAATCTTCTCTATTTAATAACTAACCATCTAAATCAGATCCAGATATTTGATTTGGATGTGGCCGAGGGCCTTTTTGTGGAAAAACTATGACATCTACTAGATCGTGTAACTTCTTATGGTCAACAGCATCAAATACTCTTAAATCACCTGGATGATGACATGGATTTTTTGTAACAATAACTTTTCCGGTTATAACTCTAGGTTGAATATCGTTTTCTTCTTCTTCTTTGGAAAAATATAATTTATTTTGACGCATCGGTGAATATTGAATAAATACTTGCTCGTTTTCAAGTACACCATATTCGTCAACAATACCAAACATATTTCTAGCATCTTCATCGGATATATATATTCTTGTTCTATCCAATAATTCACGTATAATATTAAATGCGCATGTTATTATTAATTTAATAAAAAACGGCTCTTCAACAATATTTATATTTCGAGCTATTTTACGAAGTTTGAATACAGGTAATAGTTTTTCTTGTAATAATTTATAAGCATTTTCTGGTTTTAATAATGCACAGACAAGCCAAAAATGATGTTCGTTTTGAAGATTAAGAAAATTTACATGAGGTATATCACGACTTTCAAGTAACACAATATCTTGTCGATTCAGAAACAGAGGACCTAAATATTCATATAAAATATTATTTTAATCATAAGATTGATAGAAAAGTCGTAGAGATGACTGATCTTATCTTTTAAAGAATAATACATACGCGGTGCTGATAATTTACATAATTCAAGTATATCATGATCAGTAGTAAATTTATTCATTGAATCTCGAATTTGCAATTGATATCGTTGTCCATCAAGTCTTGAATCCACAGAAAGAGTTCCTTTACAACCGCCGTATCGAATTTGTAAAACGCTAAAGCTGCGACGGTTACCATAAGGATCTAAGAAGTCTTTGATCTATGATATATAATTTGAAAATAGGGTATTTAACAAAATAATTATCATACCTCATCACGAAGTTGTGTTGAAATTGTTCCAACACCATCAGTAAATGTATATTCACCTGTTGGATCTTTTATATCACGAACATAGGTGACTGTTTCTGCCTTAATCTAAAATAGAGTAATAATCATAAACTTTTCTCTTTCTAAAAATTAATAATAAAATAGCTGAATAAATGTAAAGGTTAGAACTTATCGACTTGAACTTCATGGATGTGGATGTACAACTTTCCTGAGAACTCACCCACGCCCTCAGTTTCAGTTTTATTGATTGTAATTCTTAGGAATAGCTATAAATTATTACGATCTTTCATCTCGATAAAAAAAAAGTTTCATTCTGAGAGTACACGTTAGAGATTATGTTAATAATATAATTTCTAACCTGAATTGTTGCATCTGTACTTGTAAAACACAGAGCAATACGTGCAGCATGTTTAGCCACAATACGCTCTTTGTCAAAATTCCCCATCCAAGTATAAGCATCTTCATGTGAAAGACGTTTCTCTTCTTTATTGTGATAATAAAACCAAAATTGCTTAGTTTTTATTTGACTTTGAGAATGATGTAGATATTTATATTTTCTTGTTGATGTTAAATCAAATCCATCTTTTAAATATTCTAATATTTGATCTTTCAATGATCGAAATACAGATGGAAAAAGTAAACGTTGAGCTTCATCACGTAATTCAACCAGAGCAAAATTTAAAACACCACCAAATTCTTTTTCACGAAGAACACGATTTAATTTACATAATTTTAATGGACGAATTTTTATTGTTGTTGGTGTTAAAACTATAGATGGAACATAAGCTGTTGATGTACATGACTTGTTAAATATAGGTACTGGACGTTTATTGGCTTTGTATTGTTGATGTTTGGCTTTATAGATATCAATACCAATTTGAATTTCTGTATTAAAATCAAGAAAAAAATATTCTGACGTACGACGATGTAGATAAATACATAAACTATAAAAACGATTGTCAATCTCTTGTTCGTTTTCGTCTTCATACACCACTTTGGAATATTCATGTAATTGATTAATAGATTGTTGTGAACGATATAATTGAACTTGTACACGAAAACCAATACTACATAACATAGCCCATGAATATGATTGAATAAATGTTGGAAACATGTGGTTGTTAAGGGTTTCTATTTGTTGTAAAGATATATTTTTTGTTTTTATTGAACCAAAACAAACATGAATACGATTGTTATAAAAAAAATCTAATAAATTTCTAAATGTTTCTCGTATTTGTTTCAGTAATTCAGCAGTAGTATCTTTTAAAATTTTGTCTTTATCATTATCAGACATATCTTTTACTATTTTTCCGTCTTTTTCAAGACATTCAGTTATTGATTCGGTATTTTTAAGTCGTATTCGTAAACGAATCGTTGAAAATGAAGGCATTATTTTACGATCACGTTTTCCTTGTCGTTTAAACCATATTCTCTCTCCATCGTCCGCATATTTTGGTTTGCGTTCTCGATTGAACTCATGAACATTTCCTTTCATATTCAAAAATAAACTAAACCCATCATTCCACAAATGAATAATAGCTGCACGATCAATAATATCGGGCGATATTCTATATTTTATTTGTTTCATTATTGGATCTGTATCATTAGATAATTTTTCAAATGAATTTGTGTGAATTTCAAGACGTTCTTCATGAAAAAGTAATGACCATATACTTTTCTTACGAATTATATAATCATCAGAAACATAAAAATAGTTCATTGATGTTAGTGCACCATAAGATAGATCTGAATATATTGAACGACTAAGTCTAACACATGTTCCAGGACGTTCATCAGGTTTTTTTGAAACTTTTTCACGTATAATAGAATCTTGAAACGTAGGCTTCCGTTTAAACGTAAACCAGTATGGACGTTTTTCTTCATTATCAGTTTGTTGAGGAGAAATCTTGAGAAGATCGAAACTCAAAGGGTGTTCGAAATCTATTTTATAGATATATAAACCAAAACTCCAAATATCATAATGAGGTTTTTTTAAATCAAGTTTAATATCGTCAGGCAATTGTTCTTGTAGACATTTACATGCATGCAGGTAGCTTTTATCTTCTAAATCATCTTGATCTACAATAATTAATATTTGATTAAATGTTGCTTGAAAATTAATTAATGGAGACTCTGCGAAACGTGTGCGACGTACATTCTAAAATAAAAAAACTCTCAATTTGTCATCGAATATAAAATTTGTCATTCAACTGAATTCTATCAATATATAAGTAGTACTATGAATCTTTAAGAATCAAAGAATATATGTTATCTTTAAATGTACATACCGCTACTGATGGATCTTGTCGATTTCGATAGTATGAAGGCTAAATAAGACCAAAAGATGTAATATATATATAAACAAAGATTATATTTATTTGTAATCTCACTGGTAGTCTTGCGATTCGTGCAGGTTTTGAATAATAATCTTCTTGCTTAAAAGAAGTGATACTAGGTGGTGGTAATTCTTGATTATTTTCATCAAGCGCTTTCTTTCCAAATCGACCACGTCCAGAACTAGGACTTGTAATCATCTACTATTCAAAATATATAATCATATATAAATATATCATTCAAATAGTTTATTAACTTGTGCAATACATGGAGGATTTGGAGAATCTCTTCCATCAACTACTTTTCTTCTATGTTTACTACGTCCAAGATTTGTAAACATCTACTAATCAAAATATATAAATATAACTTTCAAATAGATTACTAACCTGTACATCACGTGGAGGATTATGTGAATCTCTTTGATCAATATCCGAAGTAATACTTTCATTAACACCACTATCACTCGAATCTGTTTCTTCATCTTCAGGTAAAGGAGCTTCTGCAGGTTCAGATGCAATTTTATTTCCTTCTTCAAGTTCAGCTTCTAATTTTTCATCAAAAATTTGATCAACTATAGTTTCTTCAGCTATATCATCATCTGCTGTTACATCAATTCCACTATCAGATAGCGAATTTTCATCAAATAATGCATCATGATCATCATCCATCTTTCGATATATATCTAAAATAAAAATATATATTGTCGAATAACATCAGAAAACTGTTAGTGTATTTTAGCAAATGTAATATTCAATTGTTCAGATAGTAATATATGAAAAATTGTGGAGATTTTCTCAGTAACGCCCATTTTTTATTCCATATCGGGAGCAAGAAAAATTACCCACTATACTATTTGAGACTTAGAATAACCAATCCATAGACATCTTATATTACATATATAGATGTCATTCATCCTTAATTATTATTTCTATACTTTAATTTCATTTCGAATGGATGAGAATTTATTTATAATAGAGTCTTCTGTATAAAAGCGAAACTGGGAAAAAATTTGATATTGATCAATTCAATCAATAATTGTTTTCAAACATTTCGCACTTTTAATACGAAAAAAATCTAACACACTGTAGATAACTAAACTATATCTTTATTCATAGATAAAATCTTGTTTCCTACCATAGAATTACATCCTCATATAATAACTAAAATAGTGTAATTCGTTGTTGTGCAGAAAAAAAATTAAAGTTGTATCATCCGAATTTTTTGTTGAGTTGAAGTATATTTGATACATATTTACATACTGTAAACTTGACTAATTCAATATTCATCTAGAAATATATTCAACCAAACATTGAATTCATGTATAGAATATTTATTATAAATAGATCGATAAATTGTTTTTTTCCTCAATTAATCAACTTCTGAAATTATGTAAATAAGAACGAAACATTTATTTTCTTACTAAAAATACAACACTATCTATTCTAGAAAATAATCAATTAACTATAAAAATCTAGATCACTATCATCTTGATATATGTTTCCTCTTGGTGTTGAATTAGCTGATTTAATATTTTTCTTTGGTGTTGTTGTTGATGCTGATGATGTATCATCATTATCATCAATACCTTTACCAGATGTTAATTTATCTAACCATGAAGATGATGATGCTGCTGTAGTTGTTTTAATAATATTTTCTAGAGATTGTTTTCTATCTGTTATTTCATCTTCTGAACTTGATTGTTGTGTTCCAACAAGTTTTTCGACAATATGTTTGATAAGATCTTTAGCTTTATCATGTAAATAAAAAACATTATTTGGTAATAATATTGGTGCAAATTTATTTGCTAATGTTTGTGAATTCATTATATGAAATTTTAATAATCGTGTAAAATGATCAATTAATCTTGTCCATAATGAACGATCTTGTTCCGGTAACATTTTTGTTATAACATCTTTATCTAAATCTATAATATTCGATGAAAGTATATCTTCAGTTAATAAACATTGATTAACAGTTGTACGACGTATTGTTGATGGTAATTGATCAAGTATAACCATCGATGTTGTTGTTGGATCAAGATCTTTTAATGCAAATTGTTTTTGTTCATTAGCTATATCAAGTATTGTACGTTTTTGTGTAATTGTTGGTGGATCATGATGATAGAATTTTTTTTTATCAATTGTATCGATTAATTCTTTTTCAATAAAATCAAGTAGAAAATAAAGACCAGAACGATTTAATTCCATACGAAGTGAACCAGTTCGTTTTGAACGAGAAAATGTATTCGATGTTGATTCTGATAATGATTGTTCATCATGTTGGGAATTTCTGTGATCTATATCAACTTTTAAATGATCTTCATGTCGTTTAAATAATATAGAAGAATCAGCTTCATGTGCCGAATGAATAGATGATACTAAATAACAAGAAATTATACATAGATATATTTAATTATATAGATTTTTTTACTATTTTGCTGTTGAGGAAAACGACTAAAATCATAAATATTATTTTTAGTAGTTTTATTTGCTTCATTTGATACAGATTTTTCCCAATTAGGATAATTTGTTTCTAAATGTTGTGAATAATCTGATTTTAAACGTATTAAATGTTCTGCATCCATACGTAATTGAATTAAATTACGTTCTGCTTGTGTAATATCATTTAATAATTGTAAATTACGTTGTTCAGCGCGTTGAGATTCTTGATTAAGTTGTGTAAAATAGGATTGAATATGATCAACTTGTTCTCGTTGTTTTAATCGTGAATCAATACTCGATAATGATTGTAATTTTTGCTCAAGTTGAATACGTTCTTCTTCACTTTTTAATATTTTTGAACGTAATTGTACACGTTTTTTATGATAATCCGCAAGGGCAGACGTCATCGATGATGAATTCATCTTAATTTTTGTTCTTTAATAGGAATGACGACAAGAAAAGAAAGAAAAAAAAATAGTTCACATACATATATATGATGTTAAAAGATAAAAGGTAAAATCAATGCTCACATGCTTACCTTTCTCTTTTATTATTATTCTTTTTTTTTTTCTTTTTTCTTCCTGTAAAGGGTTGTCAAGAGTGACCATTATGCTGCTATGTTACTCATGCTGCTATAATCTGACAAGAAGAAAAAAGAAACAAAATGCATTTGATTCAACGATTTAAGAAGAAGAAAAAAAAGATGTCATTCTATTAATATGATATTGCTAGAATAACTATTCACATTTAAAGATAGACTGAAAAGTGTTTTATTATATGTCATATATAAATTATCTTGTGTCAACATAATGCGAAATTTCTGTATTTATCTATATCTTCATTTTATTGTTAGAAAAATGAATAGTTTATAGTTTTGTTGAGTAAACAATCATTGAAGTAACTGGAAAATCTCCATCTTGAAAATATGGATGAGATCGTCGTTATAAATGATGGATATTTTTCCTAAATTATTTAGCGATTGAATCGATAGTTTGAGCCTGTGTTATTCTAATTGATAACATATATTTATACGAAAAAGTAGGCTTTCTAATATATCTTCACAGTAACTGAATACTAACAAAGTATACAATATTGATTCATATCTTTGCTTACGCTCACGATAATCTGATGAATACATCATATCCTATCATGGACTCACTATCTTTATTACAATATAAAAGAAATCGATACAAAACTTCTATAATTCTAGCAAATTTACTGATTCAGATTATTTTCACATTAGTTTTATTGTACGTCAGTGTAGGAAAATATGAACTAATTTTCTCTGACTTCAGACTTTTGAGTAAATTCATTGCCACAAGAGAGAAAAAGTACAAAAAATATTACTAAATAATAATCAGACATCGAAAAACTCCAACGAACAATATATTTTACTATAACAAAAACTTATACAAACATCGTTTCTCTCTAGCTTTGTATTTCAATATGCAAACGATTTCATTTCTTACATAAACAACTAGCATTCACATTTTATAAGTCTTCATCGTTTTGTATATTGAAAGGAAAATATAGTAATTTAACAAGGTTTACACAACGATTATCATTCTAGTAAAGTAATATTCTTAGTTTTTCTCTCTTTTTCAAACATTCATTCAATCAAATTCGTATGAATTTTGTAGTTTCATTACTGCTGAAAATAAATAAAAATATTGTTTCTTATTATGATTTAATTTTGTGAGTGCGTGTAAGTACTAGAATTATTTTTATATCAACTTTTTATTTATTATATGATAAAAACTAAGAATGACAAAGATATAGTTGATAGAAATATGATATTTATCATCAGAGTTGTTGGTTTTAAAACATCATTTAATTATCCTCTCCTGAGCTGCTATAATCGCTGAGTTGCTGCTGGTTCTTGAGTTGCTCTGTAAAAACACAGAGGGAGCATGCTTTTTAGACTATTTCAAATCAAAGATGTCTGATGTCTTACGCTAATGTAGAGCTTGTTGGACGAAAAGTATGTGGTCCATGATGACATGGACGATTTGGATGTTTTCCTGGGTGACCTAGATGTTTGCCATGTTCTCCGCATCTATGCAGATCAAAATAACCAAATGTGAAACAAAACAATTAGCAACATGAACTTACTCGATTGAACCATGTTCAGGACGATGTGATCCATGGTGTCCTCCATGCCCAGGTTTACGACCACCATCTAGAAACAACAGTTAGTGCATATTATATCAATTTTTCAATAAAATCTATCGCAGACTTACGAGGATGACTGTTGACAGCCACGAAGACTAAAACAAGAATGATACACACTAGTTTCAACATGTTGTAATGAACTGTTCTTTGTTTTGGGCATATCTGCTTTTATAGCACGAACCTTTATGTCATCATTGTCATACGATCTTCAACAAATATTTTAAAAAATAATCCGATTATTTAAAATAAAAAGATATTTTAGTGGGCTTCTCAATTAATTTATTGATACTTTAGGACCATATGAATCATATATTTTCTTTTTATAAAACAAATGATTATCAAATTTTGTAACTGATCACATGTGAATCATACTTATTTATTCCTGATATAATACAAAAAGTACTTTAAATTTTTTTTGTTTTACACGTTCCTTCCTTTATATTTCAGTATAATAGATAAAATGTGCTAGTCGACATCAGAACAACACTGTGTGTTTAACACAAAACAATCTCTTTTTGATTAGTCACTTTTAAGTAGGTATCAGGAATGTGATTCATTGAATCAAATATTTCAATTGATGGAATACGAAATACAGTAACCATAGAAAATATAAATTCTTCTTCATTTCGAAATGTTGAGAAATTCGTGACTATATTTGTGTAAGGTCGTTTATATTAAACAGATGGTTTTATCTCAATACAAATTACAATTGGAATATGATCATTAATGTTAATAGATGTATCTGTGAAAAGAAGAGCTATTTGTAATAATTTAGTTGTAGATAAAAATGTATTTATTAATTATAATATTTCCTTGAAGTAAACTGAAATAGTCAAATTCAGTTTTTATCATCATTCGACCACGATGGATTTTTTCTGCATTTAGTTGATAATATAATGTATAGGTCTGTTGATAGAGATTATCAAGTTTTACATAGAGATCCATTAGAAAATATCGCAATTTAAATATCACTTGATCGAAATACTTGATTGATCAAACAGAATAAAAATCAATCAGTAGTATACCATTGATTCATTGTAGCACATGCTTCGGATGTATGTGATAAACAGAGAAGAATGTCTATCATACATTGATGAACCATAAATATAGAAGCTTGTTCTTGATTGAAGGTTGTGGGCGCGTGTATTGAATTCATTCTCTCACACCCACACTTTCAAGACGGTAATTTTTACATTATTTTCGAGCCTTGTTTTCAAAGTTGAGTGAGAAACACAAATGTCTGTTTCTGTTACCCTATTTTTTGTCGATTTATGAGCACTACTTTCATCATGTTCTGATTAGGAAAGAACTTGAATCCGAATCTTGTAATTTTTATGATATGAAATGCACAAACATACTTAGAAAGGTATGCGACTATCCAGGCATTTTTTTGTCTTAAAGAAGAGGACAGATCGAACTCTCTTTAGCAAACATCCATTAGACTGCAAGCCATCAGTTATAAATGGCTAAGAAAATAATACATAATGTTTATTATTAAATGCTATAGATGCACTGACATATATCAACAGACATATGAATATTTATATTCTCAGGCATAATTTCAAAGTATTCAAATACTATATTGTTAAAATGATGATGACCCGTAAAAAGAATTCTCGGTATGCTTAAGTGATTTTTGAAAATATTATTTTATTTACCACTTTGTTCAAGATCTTCATTCTTTTCACTTTGATGTAAACAATTAAAATCGTAAATATTATTATCAGAAATCGTATTCATCAGTAAATAACACTTTTTGTCAGATTAAATATAATGAATTATATTGTGTAAAAATATGATTGAATATGTTCTTATTTTATGACTATTTTACTCACGAATTAAAACTTGATTATAATTCTAATGTTTTTAATCTGATTGAAACAGACTCTTCTTGAATTTTTTTTCTTCATACTTTTAAACGTAATTGTACACCTTCTCTACGATAATTCACAAACACAGACACCATCAATGATGAATTCATTTTAGTTTTTGTTCTTTAACAACAATAACAGCAACGACAAGAAAAGAAAGAAAAGAAATAGTTCACATATATGTGATGTTACAAGATAAAGGTAAAACGATTGCTCACATTCTTACTTTTCTCTTTCATTATTCTTTTTTTTTCTTTTTTCCTTTCTGTAAGGGGTTGTCAAGAGTAACCGTTATGCTTCTCTATTGCTCATGCTGCTTTAATCTGACAGAGAGAAAAAAAGAAAAAGAAGAAGTAGAGAATGCATTTGATTCAACGATTCAACAAGAAAAATACATAAACAAATGATTAACAAAAAATTCTTTTGGTTTATTGAAAGCATACCTATTACGTTCTTAGTCTTGTATATAAATATAAAATTTAGAAATTAAAATTTTTCTTTTATAAATATTGATGTTTTTCAGATGCTATAGAGAAAATTTGCAAGATGGCAAAATTTCTTTCACGTATATTTCGAAGTGGTTCAACATCGAAAAGTTCATCGTTTCATACTTCTCAACCATCACTTCAGGACAATCAAAATCGAACACCAAATAACGTTCGTACTAGTGCATCGCTTGAAAATCTTGCTTCATATCATATTATTCCTAAAGAACTTGAAAAAAATAAATTACATAAAGCATCATGGGAAGGAAATATTGATAAAGTTACAAAACTTGCACGATCAGGACAAGTTAATATTAAAGATTCACAGGAACGGGTATGAAAATATTTTTTTTGTTTTTTAATATTTTCTTTTGTTTTCATAGACTCCATTACATTTAGCTGTTGTCAGAGGACATCTAGAGATAGTAAAATATCTTATTGCACACCGTGCAAAACTTGATGCTGTTGATAATGATCAACGGACACCATTAATTAAAGCTGTTCTGAGTGGTAATCAAAATCCACAACTTAATTATCAAATCTGTCAAGCTTTGCTCAATGGTGGTGCTGATGATTGTAAGATATAATTATGATTAGTTTTAATTCAAAATATTGTCCTTTTTTTCTTCTAGATATCAATGAAGTTGATAAACATGGAAGAAATGCATTACATTATGCAATTGATTTTGGAAATGAAAATCTCGTTAATCTCTTACTTTCAAGCAACAAATGTGATCCAAATTTTAAAGATCGTGATCAAATGACACCATTACATTTAGCAATAAAACGAAATAGTCCACATATTGTTCAATTACTTGTATCGGATGAACGTGAACAACAAGCTGACCCGAATATTGTTAATCGTTATGGACAAACTCCATTACATACAGCAGCTAGTGTTGGTTATGTTGATATTGTTCGTCTACTATTGCTTTCGAGTGTTGATGAACAATGTGATCCATCTATACTTGATTC